ACATAGAGAGAGACACACATAGAAAGAGTCAGAGGGAGACAGAGAGAGAGACATAGAGAGAGACACCCACAGAGAAACATGGAGAGAGACAGACAGAGAGATAGAGAGAGAGACATAGAGAGAGAGACACACACAGGGAGAGAGAGAGACAGAAAGACATAGTGAGAGAGAGACAGAGAGAGAAAGAGAGACATAGAGAGAGAGAGACACACACATAGAGAGAGTCAGAGGGAGACAGAGAGAGAGGCACAGAGAGAGAGAGAGAGACAGGGAGACATTGACAGAGAGAGACATAGAGAGAGAGAGAGACACACACACATAGGGAGAGAGAGAGACAGAGACAGAGACAGCTATGCAACAATTTAACCCAAATGTGCCAGTAAATTGTGAGAATGTCTTCTGTGTCCATTTGTCTGATGGAACTGTGCACTGTTGGAGGTGCCATCTTTCAGATGGTACATTAAACTGCTCAGTCTGCCCTCTGGGGGGTGTTAAAGATCCTGTGGCCACTATTTGAAGAGAAGTAGGGAGCAGTTCTCATTGTCCTGGGGCCTATCATTATCTCCCGCAAACAAAACAGCATTAAAAAATGTAATGATGTGAGTTATTCCAATACAGCTGTTGGGAGATTTGCAGTTTGCAAGTTCGCTGATGAGTTTCCTAAATTATATCACTAACTACAGTTCAATAAATAAAGTCTTTCAGTGGCTGAGGAGAATTTGGGACATTCAGTCTATGTGAACAATGAGCTCATCATTTTAGCCTTCAAGGTCAGAGAAAGAAATTTAAACCCACAGAAACACGACTGACTCTCACGAGGCTGTGCAATAATTTAAACCTACCCCTGTCGATAAATGATGTGAGAACATCTTCTGTTTCCATTTCTCTGCAGGATTCACAGAACATCGTGGTTACTGACTCTCAGGACACAACTAGAGATACAACTAGTGAGGGGGAAACACCAGCTCCCCGAGATGTCTCTGAGGGTCCAGTGGGAGGAGATGCAGCACACCACAATAGAACTGAGGACCTTCTCTACGCCAACATCAACTTCTCAAAGCTGCCCAGCAGTGATGGGGCTGTGCACAGGGGTGAGAACACAGAACATGCACAGATCAGATTCCAGCCAAGCTAAGAGAGAAACAGGGAGAGGGGTGTGAGAGTCATGTGCAGCCAATATGGTTCAATAATAATGAAGGGAAAATAGCATTGCTCAACCTCGTTGTTTGTTCTGGATATGCTTTCCAAAAGCTTATCTTCTTCATGCTGTCAGATTGTATGAAGTTTATTAATAATTTTACAGATATTAGTAGAAGTAGTTACAATGAAACTTCACAATATGTGATCGTTATTTGGGAACTTTGGTTTATTCTAACAAAAGTGGTCTCCAACAGATAAAATGACATGACTTAAATGCCCAATGATGACCATACAGAAATAGGCTGAATAGTATACTTCTGCTCTTCTCTCTTATCGTCTAATGGTTTAACCCTTTCCATTATCTCAAAAAACCCATCTGGTTCAATAATGTCCTTTAGGGAAGGAAATGAACTGGAATAGATGCAAGTTCAAACCCACAGCAATGTGGTTGATTCTTAACTGTCCTCTGAATTGACCTAGCAAACTATTCAGTTGTACCACCAAACTGTGAGAACATCTCAGAAAAAGAACAAAACCAGGCAGACTACCAGACACCAATCTGGAAACAAGAAGGGCAAAGTCCTCCTAACCAACATCAAGCAGGATGTGCCAACATTTGAACTGCACCTCAAACTGGGTAACCATGATGCACTGCGGGCTATCAGCAGCAGAATTGTACTCTAATACAATCTTCAACCTCATGTGGCCCAGCATATTCCCCATTCTAGCATTAACATCAGGCTAGAGATCAACACTGGTTCAGTGGAGAATGCAGGAGGGCATGCCAGGAGCAGCGCCAGGCATACCTAAAAATGGGGTGTTCACCTGGTGAAGCAACAGCACAGGGCTATTTGTGTGAAAAAGAACATAAGCAGCAAACATTAGACAGAGCT